TCATAATCAACCATAGACTATCCCTGTGGACTGAATCGAATGCTTTCTCGAAATCTATGAAGTTAACGTAAAGTGACGACTGCCACTCTAGTGTATTTACGGGCCATCTCTTAAATATGGGAATGAAATATCTTTTTCTTTCACTGATACGTGGACAAAAGAAAAAAAAACAGTAAACCGTTTACGGAAAGAAACGTTATAATCATTTGTGCTTACTTATCTGCTACCCATTGAATTCTTTTGTGATCTTTTATACGATATCTATTTTTAAAAAGTTTCTGTGTTAATAATTAAATTAATTATTAATTTAAAAAATTAATAAGGAACGCAGAAACGTCTTTGAAAAGTTGGCGGGATCGGGATTTCCAGGCAAAAAAAGGCGGGATGGCGGGATTAACAGGAAAAAATGGGCGGGAAAGCGGGATCTGAGAACCCTATTGTTGACCCTCTTCATAAGGATTCCGGTCGGCGTTAAATTTGAAATCTTATTAGGGAGACATGTGTCGAAACCAAGCTAAATAAACTTCAAAAAGTAGCCAACGACGACTCACTTTCTCCTTACAAACTTAAATATTGCTTCAAAAATTGAGAAGAAAGTTGAATGAGTCTCTTTGAATTGCCTCACCTTTGAGCGAGTAGTAGTTTACGATTAGAAATTTCTCTAAATACTTTACTTTACGTTAGCAAGACTCCGCAAGCATTTCAGTGCTGTTGAAAAGTTGATCGTATTGATAAATATAGCTATTTTTCTTATCTTTCAAAACGAATAAGTTGCGAAGACCACTTGCGTTCTGGATGTTGTTTGAACTAATTGACAACTGATGCAAGCAGTCTCGTTGAAACAAGCCAACGCAACATTATTTTGGTCTTAAACAAGATTTATTATTGCTCCTTAATTCTTTCGTTTCAATATTTAGTAGTGGTCGTTTGACTTACGAGAACTAATTCTCTTTTCTTCAGGTGTATTGGAACACATCATTTCTCCACACGAGCGCCAGTTTGTATGTAGTACCGACTATGAAACTCCTGCCCTGATGGTGCCTATAAACAAGTCGGCCACCAAAATGGTGAATGTGACAGACAAGAGCTGCAAGGACATACCAATCTACAAGAAGGATCGAAACGAAAGGGCGATACAAGTCAGGATGATGAAAAGAGAGGAGGTCCTCACTGGGAAGTTCCTGTTTGTTGTCAAGTACCGTCAGTGGAGGAGAGACTTCCGCTATCCTCTCGGAATCGTCGTAAGAACCCTTTCCAGAGGAGAAGACTTGAAAAGTAGCATGGAGATCGCCTACGCGGAGCATGGAATACGACGCGTATTTATGCAAGAAACAAAGAAGTATGTCAAAGAAAACTTTCCATTGGAATGGTCCATTCCTGAGACAGAACGCAAAAATCGAACCAAGGTAACTGGGGCTATTACCATTGATCCTCTCACTTCTTTGGATCTCGATGACGCCCTGACGATAGAGAGTGATGCGTCTTCCTCTAATTTTGTGGTAGGGATACACATTGCTGACGTCAGTTTCTTTGTGAAGCCAAACAGCCCACTGGATCAAGAAGCTTTTCTCCGTTGCACATCTTATTACCCTGGTGATGGGCAGAAAAATGTCCCTATGCTGCCGCGAGAGCTGAGCGAAAATTTTTGCAGCCTGCTGCCCAATGAAGACCGCTTGGCAGTATCCGTGTTGGTCAACTTAGACGAAGAAGGAAAGTTGACTGCTGAGCCAAGTATAAAACGCACGATTATCCGATCCTGTTGTCGGCTGAGTTATGCTGAGGCGCAGATGGCCATTCGTTGTTCCAGCGTCTCAAGTGTCGGAGACATTCCAGTGGAAATCATCGAAAAGATCAGGCAATTAAGCTCCCTGGCACAAAAAAGGAGACGACGTCGTTTGGGAGACTGTGCTTTTGATCACTGGCAAAATGAGGGAGTTGATGAAGGCTTTGAAGCTCATGAGCTGGTCGAAGAAATGATGATCCTTGCTAATGAGGAAATTGCTAAGCTCTTGTCACAAAAGAGCTCAGAATTGGCACCTCTGAGGATACAGCTACCTCCAAAGGATCACAGACTAGCCGAGTGGATTGAAACGCACGGCAAGTACGCAAGATTGTCACTTACGTTTTCAGAAATGTTTAATAACGAAGCCACCGAGGCCTCGACACTGAGCATACTTCACGACAACAGGGTCAGGTTTAAAGTCCAAAAATCGGTTTGGAGTGCGATGTGTCATGCAGTAGACTCAAATGATCTACCCAGGCTTCACCAGCTGATTTGTAACGAGAACAACCACCCCCAGGTTGCTGTGGCCATGTCCAACTTTCGCCGAATCCAGTCTGAGTCTCGGTACGTTTGTGAAGGGGATCAACCACCCGATAATATCTTCCACTACTCTCTGAGAACTCGATGCTACACACATTTCACGTCCCCGATAAGGCGATATATCGATATTGTGGTGCATCGACTCCTTCTTGCTTTGCAGTCTGGCAGCTGTTACGCAGAAAGCCCTTCTAAAGACGACATAGCGAAGGCATGTCGCCGCTCTACTTTCATGCGTGACAACGCAAGAAAGTTTGAAAAGCATTGCAAGAGGATTCATATGGCAAACCAGCTTCAACAGCGATGCCGTGAGACACGTGTTTTCATTGAATCCATCGAACATAAGTCAATAAGTCTTCATATTTCCAACCACGAAGACGACCAATTGGCGGGAAAACAGAAACGAGTGCTTCTAAGTCATCTCAATTTAGTGGACTTGAAAGAAGAAGAGGAAAGCAAGGGCAGAGAGAAGACTATCGTTCTCAAATGGAAATTTAGAAAGTATATAGCACCAGATGCCAGAAGCAAGACAAAGAAAGAAAACAAGCCTGGTTACAGTGGTGGTGGTGGTGGTGGTGGTGAAGTAGCAGAGATCCCTTCGGATATCTGGCTTCGTGTACTTGATGCCGTAAGGGCCAACGATGATGACAAGCTGGCAGCTATCGTCAAGCAAACGGAAACAAAATTGGGTATCTTGTCTGCTTCTCGTGGAAGAGACCAGCCACCTCAACCCACGTCGCCTCACAATGTTCGTGGTATGCATTACAAGCACCCTCATCACAATGAAGAGGCAGCACCGTCATCTGAAGAGACGGCAGACCATTTCTATGAGAAGAGCATTGCACTGAGAAAGTGCGAATTCTTTTCTGTACAGCTCTGCCCTCACATGACACGGGGAATTCTACAACCAGATATTCAAATGTTCAAGGCGGATCCTCACATCAACATTTGCATCGAGCACCACAGATACCCGAGGGAGTCATTTGCGCACACAGCCAGACATCAGGCATCACGAGAGCGGTATGAGACCATTGATGAGTACATTAAGGCTTGGAAACCAGTACTTGCAATGGAAGCTGCAACGGAAGCCGTCAAAGAGAACGATGGATTCATTATTGAAGACCTTAACGTGACATGGAAAAACGAGCTTGAAGATGACAACATAAGCGGATTATTTACTCTTCCCTGGAACTACTGCGATAGCAGACAGCTGACGTTTTTCTCAGGAGACCTTGCATGCATCCGTGTGCCCTACTGTGACAGGGATTCGGTTTCTGGCGATGAAACGTCAAATGAAAGAAAGGTAAGTATAGGTTTGTTAACTTGGTACTTGCCTGCAACTAGGGAGTTTATTTCACTTCTTTGTTTTTTCACAGCCCTCTGCAGATGCTCAAAGTTCTGGTGACAACAAGCCAGCTGATGATTTCTGGGTGGTGCACTGCATTCTCAAAAAAGTAACCAACATAAAAGAAATAAAGATAGTGGAAGTACGGCTGGAGTTTCATCAGACGGCATCAAACATTCCGGAATGGCTCACACATGGAAATGGTCACAGAAGTACTTTAGAACTCATTCATAGGACACTTCCTCAAAGGTATGAGTATTGAGAATTGAAAAGTATCTTATTTGTTTTCTTGGCTAAAGTGATTATTTTGGTTTTACGACACTCAATTGAAAAGCGCTCTAAAAACCTTTCACTAAGTGAATTTAAACAA